CTTGTTATCTTGGCACAACTGCTTCTTGATCCGTGCACAAGTTCAGAATGAGCATAATGAAGTATCCTGGGATTCCTATTCTTCTCAAAGTTATCCACAGTTAATTATGTTCCACAAAGACGAATGGCTTTGCATAGTGAATGGAACACAAGGAAACGTCTTTCTGGTATTATCTGCTTTGACCCAAAATCCATTTGACTTTAGCAATGATATCCCTTATTCCACGTTCTCTTCTGAATCTGGCATGAACTTCTGGCAGCTCCCTGTGAATGGACTGCCGCAGAGCATAGATATTAGAGATACATTATAAAGTGCCTGACATAGAATAACCAGCTGCCATAAAGTTAATTCTGACTCAGTAATCCTCTAGGACAGAGTTAAATTGCCTCCGAGGGTTTCTAAGGCTATAAATCTTTACCGGAGATAACCTCACCTCTCTCCCATGGGACATATACTCGTAATAGAATGCATTTGATCAACATCTGAGAGGGAAAAGTGGGTTTGAAAGTGGAGACCTGGCCTCCTCTCAGGCAGTAAGCCTATGGACAAACCAAGTAAGAAAGCTTGGAGGTGTACAGGGCAGCCAATTGAGGTCAGTGAAAGAGGGGGTGTTCTGGGCAAATTTATTCATCTATAGGACCCATGTTCTATCAGAGACTATTTAAAAAGAAATTATTGGGGGTTCGTACAACCCATCACAATCCATACATACATCAATTGTGTCAAGCACATTTGTACATTTGTTACCATCATCAATCTCAAAACATTTTCTTTCTACTTGAATCCTTGGTATTAGCTCCTCATTTCCCCCCTCCCTTCCCCACCCTTCCTCCCTCACGAACCCTTGATAATTTATAAACTTTTTTTTTTCATGTCTTACACTATCCAATGTCTCTCTATTAGGGACTCTTTTTTTTTATTGTTTTATTAGGGGCTCATACGACTCTTATCACAATCCATACATACATCAGTTGTGTAAAGCACATTTGTACAATTCGTCATTCTTAAAACATTTGCTCTCCACTTAAGC